CTCTCTCTCTCTCTCTCTCTCTCTCTCTCTCTCTCTCTCTCTCTCTCCCGCTCTCTCTTTCTTTCATTTTTAGGTGGTAGGGTTCTTAGTTTTCTGGTTTTATTTTCTACTTTATGACATTACGATTAGAAAGCATCTTCACTGGTTCTATTTTTAAGATTCCTGCTTGCTAACTGTGGCTTTAATGCAAGCACCTTCAGCATCCAGTGTCTTAGTTTGCAAAATTGGAATAATAATATACATACTTTTTAAAGTTGTTGGAATTGAGTTAATATATGTGAATGCTCTGATGAGTGGCTGGTGCATAGTAAACACATGTAAGTGTTTGACTTTATTTTCTTTGTGGCCTAATATACAGTCATTTATTGAGTGAATGTTCTATGGGTTCTAGAAAAGGAAGTCTGCTCTCTGTTTTCCAGATATAAGCTATGTTAACAATATATTCCTTATTAGTTGTTATATTTATCTATATGCTTTACTTACATTTGTTTTCGTTTCAGCTGTCATGAACTGTAATCATCTATTGCTACTGTCATTGTAACTCTTATAATTTTTGTTTTTTAAATATTGATGCTATTTCCTTTGTTGCATATTCATAACTGTTATATCTTTATTGAGAAATGGACCCTTTATCATTCAAAGTGTGTTTCTTTGACTCGCTTAATGATTTTGACCTTGATTCAACCCTGTTTGATTGTGACACCTGCTCTCTTTTTATTTGCATTTGCCTGATTGTACTATTGCCCATCTTTTATTGTCAACATTTATGTGTAAACAGCACAGAGTTAGGTTTTGCTTTGTGATCCAATCTGCCAATCTTTTTCATTTAATAGGTGAGTTAAGCCCATTTACATTTTCGACATGAGAGGTATGTCTGAGCATAGATATGCCACATTATCTTATGTCGTGCTTTCTCCTTTAAACCTTTTAAAAAATTCCCCACAAACTGATCTGTCTGCTTTGTTTTATGTATATTACTTTTGATAATTTGGAAGTTTTATATTTTTGTTTTATGGGATACTTTTATAATATACTTAATCCTCATTTTCTTTGGACATTGTCTATAATTCTGTACTATGATCAGTAATAAAATTTATGCATTTTCTTTTTCTACATTTTATGTTTAGCTTGGTATTGTAAAATACACTTACGTATTTACTACTTCATTTATCACCTTTAATAATACCTTAAAGATGAAATATCAGTGAACTACCACTATCTTCTACCTTTCTGTCAGAGTTTTACTATTTTCTATTTTGTGACAGCTTTCATATACACATCGCCAATTTTCTAGTGATATTTATCCAACATTTGACTTCCTTCCTTCCTCCCTTCCTTCCTTCTTTCCTTTTCCCTTGTATTAATTTTCTATAGACCCGTAGCTATATTTTTCTGTTCAGCTTACTCATCTTTGAGGAAGATGACTTTTCCTGGACCAATTATTCTGGTGAAGAGCATGCCATGGGGACCCCAGGGCCATGTGTCCACCTGAAAGGTGTTTATCTTATTACTGGGGGTCTTGCATTTCTCCACATCCTTTGATTAGGTTGACTCTGTGATTCTTTGGTTTGCTCAGCCACCTCTGTTTCTCAGAACTAAATTGTAGATATTTTTCCCAATTTATCATAGTACAATGAAATATGGACACCTCCAACATGGACACTTCCCATCCCCCCCACGCCCATCTTCTCAGTATTGTTGGATCAAGTTTTGGTTGAATCTGTGTTGCCTCCTCTCCACCCCAGCCTCTTCCTCCCCAGCTCCTAGTAACCACCAACCTACTTTAGTCATCATTCTCCTGCTTCCATTTTGATTGTATATTTATGTTTGTGTTGTCTTTAAGTTATAAAAAATTATTGCTATAAGCAATTTATTGCCAAGTTGTATGCATGTTGTTGCAAGAAGCTGTAGTCCATTTATTTTGTGTACCGTGCCATTCTGACTTTACCACAGTTTATTTATCCAGTCTCCTGTCAACAGGTATTTGGTTTGTTTCCAAGTTTTTCCTGGGGACAGCGCCGTGAGGATCATTCTTGTACATATCGCCTGGGGTACAGGTACAGGAGTATCTCCTGGACATATACTGAAGAGTAAAATTGCTGGGTCATAGTATGAAACTACAAGTTTACAAACAAGGCCATACCGTTTTTCGAAGAACAAATTAACCTCTATATGAAAATAAAGAATAGGTACAATTAAAGATTAAACATCTGTAAATATTATTCATGACTTCACTTATACCATTATTGTCATCCGACATAAGTGTTTACTCATTCGCTACCTAGTTGAATTTTGTGCTTCAAGTTTCACCTTAAGATTCGCTTCTCTCATGGAGCCTTTTCTATTTAACCTGCTGCGCAGTGTTTTTCTCTGTTGAATTTCCTCAGTAAATGCATAAACTCTAGCATCCCATCATTTCATTGCTTTTACGGTACCTTGCAATTATTCTTTAGGTCACTATTACCTACATTTTTATCCTAACGTATGCTTGTAATTTTTAAAACTTGAAATGACTTGTCTTGGCTCCACCACATTAATAACTACTCTTCAGTCAAAAACTGGCAGAGAGTATAGTTTTATGTTTATAGAGGAAATTAGAAATTGATGGACACATTTAATTAGTTAACTGAGTCGTAGGAAAGAACTGTCCCTGTTTAGAGCAATGAGAGTCTCTTGAAATTTTTGTTAAGCATGTAGTTATGTCTAAGTTATAGTGCAGAAAGCCTAATTCAGAAACACTTGAACAATCAGAGATCCTTGAGGATCCAGGCTCTACTGCCCCTTAGGGCATTCATTCACACACAGACTATGAATTTTCTATCTGGTTGTGTTTCTCTCTTTGCTTTGGTTGGTAAGAAGCCTTAAGGGGAACTTCTGGTATGTAATTTTTGTCTATGAAATTTACTCTTCTCTTCCTTTACTCTTAAATGCCTTCTATTGTTATTTTGGAAAATTCTCTCAAATCTGGAACCCAGTGGGATATAAGTAAGTGACCAAGTAAATACACAAGTACAGGAATGACTATACAAAAAATATGATGAATCAGATTAGATAAAATATGTCCACAGTTTATGTTATGGATGCCCAGATCTGTGCTTCCCATTGTCCTCATCTGAAGCTTACCTGGCAGGGTGCTCATTCCTCGCACTTGAGATTTGTAAACTGTTGCCCTAAGGAGGGCAGCCTGGGTGGTGAACCTGCTGCGTCTGCTTCCTTTCCTCTCATTTGCCCTGACCCCCAGGGAAGTTCCTAGTTGTATTTGGCATCTAGATTTTTTTTCAAAGAAAGGGTTTTCATGCAAAAAAAAGTCCCAGCTTGTCTATACACTACACACTCAATACGCACACATCAGCTGATTGTATTCATCTAGTGTTTTATTGTGCACTCTTATATTCTTTGCATATTCCTGTGGTCCAGAGTCAAGGTGGGTTACAGATACATTGTCAGGTCTCCAGTTCTGCTTCTCTGAGAGCATCTCTAAAGAAGCAGAATACTGTTTGAACATTATCATAAAATACATAACAAGCCTTAAAAGTATTTTATAAGATGAAGAAGAGAGATAAGAGGACTATCCAAGTCAAATTGAGACAGTCCTAAATATAGGAACTAGTAAGTCACTAATTTGTTTTTGCCACTGGAAAGTAGATATAACTATTGTGATATAATGCCTACCTGCTAGCAAGTTCTTCAGTGTGCTAAGCTGTAATAGAAGAAAGTAGTCCTTTGTCCTCTGTGTGCCTTAGTGTATGTTGCATGTGCTGCACACGCAGCAGAAGCCTGTGTATCTCGCTATTGCATTTTAGGATCCATTCTAACTGCTTCTCCTAAATGAGGTGGGGGTGTCCCATTTCTTGGCCATAAACATCCCCATCACCTTCCTTTACCTCTCAAGGCTTTGTTTCTACTGACAACAACAATCATGTTAATGTGTTTAGTTGCGTAGACTCTGTTAGATGGAGCTCCTTAAGGGTCAGGACTGTAAGTTGTTTATCTTTGTGTTCCTAGCACCTCGTATAGGCTTGGCACATGAAAAAACAATAATTAGATGGGAACCAAAACATAAGAGGTCAGGTCTCACAAGTCTCCTGCTCTACTATGTACTAAATGTTTAATTATTCAGTAAACAAATATTTGAGAGCTTTCTATATGTGAGGTGTTATGGAATGCACTGGTCATAACAATTTCTGGAATGGGCTATAACTTAGCAAAGAGCCAAAACTAATTTGATTTAGCAGGAACCACAAGCATTGGTGGGCAGGGATTCTTAGAGAATATCTACTTTCCTCTCTTATAATAAAAAAAATAGCTTATGTAGCCCAAAATTTTGTTTTTTTTTCCCTTTTACTCTAGGGTCAGGAAAGAGAGAAGGCACTTGACATACCCAAGGCTCACACTCACCACACTCACAGAATATCATAGTAAGAACCAAATAAATTTTAATTTGAATATATTACAGTAGAATAAAATTCTCTTGAAATACAAAAATAATTGCAAAATTTCTTTCCATTCGCAAGTAATATTTGTTACAGGCTATAAATGGTACATTGATGCTATGAACTGTATAGATTATGCTATACTGTCTCCTATATCACATGAAGAAAAGCAGCTGTGCAACACTATTCTGCAGTCTTGAGACCCTGCCAAGACATTTCACAAGCAGTTATCCTTAATGGCAGAATCCGATGGTTATTGCTCCTAACTCAGTCTTTATGTTTTTTGGCTCAATTCTATAGATTAAAAACTTTTTAAAAAATTAGTATAAAATTCTGGAAATTGCTATTTTTGGAATATCTGATTTTTTTTTTTTTGTCCCAAAGACACAAAAACACAGAGAGAAGTGTTAAATTCAACAAAAACTCATTTAAAAGTAAATCACCATCAATGGAAAAGCTTTTCAAGTATAGGAAATTTGAAAATAACAGCAATTAACGAGAAGACGCATTTCATTGCCAAAAGCCACTGAGGGGTTCCATCTGTCTTTTTCCACTATTCCGTTTCCTAATATTTTAAGTGAGGTAAGAATCACAAGAAGGATTCTAAGAATTATAGCAGGTTCTGCCTAGATCTGGCCCACCTACAACTTTAGATTCTGAGAACCAATTATTTAAAAAGTAGGAACCACCTAAAGAGGAAACAGGGAAGCTTTGGCATATGAAAAAGGATGTAATTTTGTTTTCTAAAATTCCATTTAGGCCAGTTCATTTTGATTTGTGCTCTGAACTATTTGTGGTCTAAGAGAAAAGACAAGAAAACTGGTCATCTTCCCGAGTAGAGAGCTGAAAGAACCTCTTGGCAACTGCCTGGGAGGCGAAGGCTCTCTGTGGTCAGTGGTCTTCTCTCCTCAGCTGCTTTGCCTCCCGCCACGTTCCCATCTCCATTCCATACACCTCCTCCATGCACGGTGCGATGCTGGGGGCTTAGGTGGAACAGCTGATGTAGTGCTGACAGGAATTCTTCCGTTTTTAGTGTTTCAAGGAACTATGACTTTCTTTCGGTTCTCATGCTGGATAGGAATGGCTCTGCACTTTCTACATCTATAATACTGGGTACCTTAAACTAATAGAAAAAGAATGACATAGTGTAGAAATAAAGGTGTCTGGTACAGAAACACATGGCGGTCTGTCTTCTGAAAGTAGCTTGTGAGCCTAAGAATGCTCAGTTGTATAATAGGTTCGTGCTGTGAAAGCTCAGACATGGGGCTGGAATATGACTGAGAACAGAGAGTAGCCATTAGGAGACCCCTCAAAAGGCTCTACACAACCCATGTTCTATATCCTTACATCAATAAATGGCCATAATCCATACATATCATCTTTGTAGCCCTACTTTCAAAATTCATGTTTATTCAGCAAAATACATGAAGAAAAAAAACACCTAAACTGTTTTGTTACCTAAAATATAAGGGAGAGGTGATGAATGCGATTTGTATACTTTGCTTTCTAAATAACCTTATATGTGCCGCACAGATTTTTTCATAGTATTTACCTTTTAAAAAACTGCAATACTCACGTTACTCCACTGTAACACGTTATCAAAAATTCAATTACTGCAGAGTAATCCCAGAAGCTTATATTATCTATTAATGACTGGACAGCTTGATAAAAGATCTTACTGCCATTCTTCGAATCATATAGCTATTTATAATCTCTGGTCTCCCAAGATTCAGAGATGCATTACAGGAGTCTTTCTGGAATTCCCCAGTACAAAGGGGTAGTGTACAGAGATGGCTGGGAATGAGAAGACAGAACGATGGTGACTCTTAAGCATTAACGGCATTTGTCATCGAAGCTTGGAGAAAATGCTATAGAATTTTAATATAAAAAAAAAAGTTACGCCGTTCTCCTTAAAGTCATTAAATATATTAGAGTAAGAGTATTTTTGGAAGAAAGGCACCAGACAAGTCCAAAGTCTTATTGCTAGTCAGATCACACAGAAGCCACAGCACAGGCTGTGGCACTTAGTTCATCCAGGAGGCAGGGCCTAAGCAAGCCAGTCACTGGTCTTGAGGTTTGAAGAGCAAGGAGGGAAAATGTCAATAAAATAGAGCCCTGCGTCCTTACATTAAACGCGAAGAAAATGATTTCCAGTTTTATGTCAACATGGTGACTGGAGCTATTTTAGATAGGCACTCTGTTTTCTTTGGCCCATTTCTTCATAATCCGGATGATGTACTCTACTTGGGTGTTACCGGTGCTTCTCAGTAAATGGAGCACTTCTCGAAGAGTCTCTCTAAGCAAAGGATTTAAAGGGACAAAGTGTTTCAATAGGGAATGAAAATTAACAAGTGAAATAAACTCAGAGCTATTCTTTGTATACTTCTAGTAGAGCAATTTTGGTGACAGACTCACTTCCTGTGTATTCATTGACTAATTATAAACTTACTAGCCTTCTAGTCTTATGGTGGCATAGTAAAATGAAAAGTCTATGACATCTTTCTCTCCAACCCAATTTTTCCTTGTTTACTTATACTATCTATATCCATGCTGTTAATCTTTTTGTCCCACTACAACATAAATATTTCCATTTCTGTCCTCATTCTGCATGACAGAGTAGAAAGAGGGTATATCAGGAGCTGGGTTCAAATTCCAGCTCCATACCAATATGTCACTCAACTTGTCTGAGTCCGAGATTTCTTCTTTGTTTAAGGTGATAATCACCTTGAACTTGGTGTCACTGCCATATTTATAAAATTTTACGAAGCCAGAGGAATAGATGATTTCTCCATGAAAAACAATATATTAATAAACATGGAAGACAGGAAAGGTAAGGATCAAGATTTGGTAAATGTCCAGTATTTATAAGTATTTTAAATTTAATTACAATTAAAATTCATGTTTTAAGTAATGCATACTAAAACTTCCCTATTACCTAATCAAACCTACAGGTAACTGCTGATTGACCCTCTTCCCTAAGAGTTCTCTCGTATTTTTGACTTCTTTTTTTCCTGAGCAACCTCTTTTACTTAACCAAATTCTTTTAAACTTTAATTTAGGACTGGAAGTAGATACAAGGCAGGAGGTAATTTTTGATAGATTATTTACTTATAAAATAATCACATCTCCTATTCATACATTGGTAACAAATACATTCTATGAGGTTATTTTTAGAATACTGAATTTCATTTTAAGTATTTTAATTTTTGTTTCAAATGAAGCTACAAGCAACTTAATTCTATATCATCTAATGTCTCAGTATTTCCTGAAATATGAGAAGGCAAAAGAAAAAAAATAATTTTTAATCACATCCACTCCATTTCTAATTCTTTGAAGCCTAAACTAAAAGATGCAATAAAAAGCCAATGGGGGAAAAAAAAAAAAAAAAAGAAGAAGATATTGAAAAAGACTATGAAACGGCACTTCATTTGGAGCCATATATATATCTTGCTGTCATAGCTGAGAGGTTTAGTATACTCAGCGTGCCCACTACATATGATTGAGAATGATCTGATTCTAAAAAATAAATTTCTGGAGGAAAGAGTTCGGATAGAAATACACAACATCTTAACCTTTTATTCATCATTCTAAAACATCATTATAATTTTGAGTTTTCAGAAGACGATGTCATCCACAAAAGCAATTCCTTTATCTCACAAACCAGCAAATGAATAGAAGTTGTGTTTCGTCTCTTCACTTACTTGGGTTCCCTTCCAGCTAAGATCATCTGGAAAATGCCCACACAGGCACCCCTCTTGCCTTCCCAGTATTCGGGGTTGGGATCCAGTCTCTCCAGGACATCAAATGCTTTGGCTGAATAGTAAAACTGGCCCATCTGAATAAAAGAAAGCATTGTGGTAATAACTGTAGTCACAAGATCGCACAGAATGAAACTAAACGTGAAGATACCATGATACAGCTGCATAAAATGAGTGCGTGGGTAATGACAACACTGTCGGTTAGATAAATTTAAATTCCTTATTAAAATAAGAAAAAGGAAAATTACTGTTTGGGTATGTTAGTTCAATTTAAATCACTTTACCGTCATTCAGGTTTCAACAATATAATATTTTTTCTACATATAATCAAGTTATGTTATAATCAACACGTTATCACTTCTTATTCTAATCTTGAGGATAAACTCTGATGATTGTGATTTGACCTGGGTATTTTTCATGTCTTCTCAGTACGTTCTGTGGATGATTACTATCATTTATTTTATGTTAACTTGATCATTTTCAATCCAAGAGGATAGTCTTCCCCTAGACTTGTTCCTGACTTCTCAGAGTGCCTGGGTGTACACTGACTTACTGCTCTAAACGCCAAATCTTTTAACCATTTATTTTGGCAGATATCTTTCCCAAATAGACGACACATTTCCTTGGCATTCTAGAATATGCTGAATACCATTAAATTTGCTTACATGAATTTTCTTGATTGGTGATCATAAATGTACAGAGTTACCAGTTTCACTGAAGGCTTCAAGTTGCTGACTAGTCCTTTAGCTCAGTGTGGTTCGGTTACTTCCCCATTCCTGTGAAGTATTGTTTTAAACCTTTGTCAAGTTCCTTAAGGTCTCTACTGAATTCTTAGCTTAGCTGCTTTCTGTACTTTGTAGAGAAAATACAGCTTTCCTCCCTTCGGTTCAAATTATACCTTTATTCATTCTGCCCTCTTTTCGCTTATCTCCCGGGAAATTTTCTTATTCTTTTTTAAGGTTAATCCTTCTTCCTATGTTCCCGTAAACATTTTTGGGGGGTGGAGTGGGGGTGAAATAACACACATAGAGAATGATGCATGACACATAAATATACAGTTTGATGACTAATTATAATGTGACTGCAAATGTAACCACCACCCAGGTCAAGAAATGAAATTTTGACAGCAAAACAGCTCTGCATGTCACTTCCAGACTACAATCTTCTTCCCATCAGAACTACTTTTCTGACTGTTATGGTCATCAGTTCTTTGACCTTCTTTATAGTTTGATCACCTATGAATACATTGTTAGACAATATAATTGAGAATTTTATCTATATGAAATAATGCTGTAAATATTCTTTTATGTCTTGCATGTGTTTGTAAGATTCATCTATATTGCTTGGATATAGCTCTAGTTGGTTTATTTTTTAAAAACTTAAAATTTTGAATTATAGATCGATAGAAAGTTGCAAAGACAGTACAGAGAAGTCCCATGTACCTTTCACCCAATAGGCACCCCCCCACACACACCTTACAGCTTATGTAACAATATCACAATAACAAAATCAGGAAGTTCACACTGCTACAGTGTGTGTATAGTTCTGTCATTTTATCAAATGTGTAGATTCACATAACCGGCATCACTATCAGAATACACAACTATTCCAACACCACAAAGATCTCTGTCGTGGTACTCCTTTATAGTCACATGCACTCCCCTCCCTGCTCACCATCCCTAAACGCTGGCAGTCACTAATTTATTCTACATCTCTATAATTTTTAAGAATGTTATATATATAAAATCAAGCAGTTATGGGGCCGATTGAGATTGGCTCTTTTCTCTCAGCATAACGTCCTTGTTTTTCCAAGTTACTGTATATATCAATAGCTTTTTTCTATTATGTAACCCTGTAAATGCACAGGTGCTTCTGGCAGTTTGGTTTGGATGTCGAGAATGATGATGCCACCCACACGCCAAGAGGGTATGAGGTTTTCTACTTACGTAGTTGAGGTCTCTGGGGAGAGTAGGGCAGGGGCCTCAAGGAGATCTAAAGTGGCTTGAGAGAGCAAGGAAAGAGCGGTCTGGGTTTTTCCTGTGGTTGGGGGCGGAGCCCAGGTGAGGGTTCCTGAGAAGGTCAGGGGCTTGTGTGGTTTGCATCACCTGATGGTGCCAGAGAAGGGAACAACCAGGGAATCTTATAATTTTCTCCAGGGCACAAGGGGACTTGGACAGGGCGAGGCTTAAAAGCTGTCAGCAGTCAAACATCAAAAAATGGAGTCAGACCCGTCATTACGGTTCCTCTTTTTTTTGCCAAGTAGTATTCCATAACAAACTACAGTTTATTTAACCCTTCACCTTCTGAAGAACACTTGGATTGTTTCCAGTTTGGGGCTGTTAAAAATAAAGCCACGACTGACATTTGTGAACAGGTATTTATGTGGATATAGGTTTCCCTTTCCTTGGGATAAAATGCCAAGGAGCGAGATTGCTGGGTTGTATGGTACGCATATGTTTACTTTTTAAACAAACTGCCTAATAATTTCACAATATATATTTTTCCATCCTTTAATTTTCAACCAATTTTTATCATTATATTTGAAGTGAGTTTCTTGTAGAGAGCACATAGTTGGGTCATGTTTTTTTTTTTAATCTACTCTGTCGATATCTTTTAATTGGTGTATTTAGACCATTTACATTTAATGCAATTATTGATATCTTAGGACTTAATTCTACCATTTTGTTTCTATTTGTCCTTTCTGTTTTTCCTGCCAAGAACATGTCTTACAGTTTCTAGATGGAGAAAGATATGACTGTGCAATCTGCACACAGGAAGGACAAAAAAGCCTGTGCTTGACCTCTCTAGTCTTTGCCTATACATAACTCTTTCCTGTTGTTCTGCAGTGTAATAAGTCTTAGCCATTAGTATCTCTTTATGTTGAGTTGTATGAGTCCTTCCAGTGAATCTTGGAACTAGTGGGTAGTCGTGGGAGCACTGAGACACGAGGTAATGCTGAATTGTTTTTCAAAATCATTATTTTCCTTTAATCTTAACCCCACTTCCCTCTCGTCTCCTCTAGGGCCTTACTCCAACAAAAATGCTCCCACTCTCTTGAATCTTTCATCTCCCTATATAATGGCTCCTCTTCCTCTGCCTAAAGATATACTCTTACTCACTATGCTAAAAGAAAAATAACTCTCCCTCCACCTGCAAAAATAACGCACCCCCAAATCCCTAACCTTGTTTCCCCTTTTAAGTTAACACATTTTTCTCCTTATCCTCAGTATCAATCACATTTTTCTCCTTATCCTCAGTATCAATTTTTCAAAAGGCAGTGGTCTACATTATATCCATTGCACCTGCTTTTTAATCCGATTCCCTTCTCTATCTACTCCCATTTTCTTAGGCCTCATGCAATTCCATCTAGTTGAAGATTTGATATTCTCCTTCCTCGGCTTTTGATAAAATAGGATCTGGGGTTTAAAAGGTCATGGAAAGCACATTTTTCCCTCTCCTGGGTTCTTTTTCTTTCCTTTCTGTTCATCTTCATCCTCTC